TTATTGTTTCCTTAAAAAATTTCTCTCTGAAAACTCTCCGGCCGTCCGAACTCCGTGTATCTTGCTGACCTATGACACAATGGATACTCAGTCAGTATCCATTGTGTCATAAGCTGAGTCACACTGAGCTCAGGCCATTGACTGAGTCACGATGGTATCAACATGTACGCGTAGCAAGATCGCATCCAATCGTCTTTACGAAATTGTGTACTTGCCTTGCTCCTTTGCTGTACGTATATAAAACGGGTAGCATTCTATACAGGTTGTGTATCTAGAACGAGGTTAAGCGGTCTTACAGGTTGATACGGCGCTAGTTTGTATGCGTAGGGATTTATTTTACAGCGCATACAATAAAGTTTATGATTTTGTTCCATGTTTCTGGTCCGTATAGAGGTTGACAAGGCTCTAGCTCTGCATTGACAAATAATAGAACAGTCAAGGACAGCTACTTAGATTAAACAAAATCCACTATGGGATTATAGTGGCTTAGTCTAGTCCACACCGAGACTACAGATTGTTTTTGTTGTTTACCTTTGTAATTCAAATGTCAAATACAGATCTACCCTGTCATCTTGTTCAGTAATAAATCATAAGCACCATCAGAGGATTCCGCATTCATCAAACGCAGTATTGCTTGTATAATTACCAGATTTAAGCTTTTCTAAATATCGAATCGTACCTTGATTAAATTTGACTATAACCTGTGTAGAACCCCGCAGTTAATTTTAGCATCAGCTGAATATATCTACAAGAATTACTCAGCCCTTGCAGACTCCCGCTAAATGATTATCATCTACTGCCAAAAAAAACGACAAGCTGCTTTTAGCTGCAAACATGGAGCTTTTACCATCTAAGAACAGCTGATTTGAACTATGAGGTATAACGATACCTATAGTGAAAGCCATTATCCATTCCTTACATTAAGATGGTACCTCCGATCGCAATGCTTGTTATGAGTAAAGATCTTGTATGTGATGAGACGAATCTAGATCCAAAATAGTTGACTTCAAAGCCAAGAGAGCTGATTTTCCTTGCCGTGCAACGGAATAAAATTAATTCTAATGTTGAAGTTCATTGAAAACAGGACTGGACCTACAATAACTTCCTGACCGGTGCTTGTTATCCGTAGTTAGCGGAAGTTAATTCCATTCTACTATCCAACCGTTGATAGTTCGAAGTACGTCCAAAGGACGATTTGAACGGATATTTGTCGCTTCGTAGTTAGCATAGAAAGACATAGGTAAGAGGTTCTTGTCTTGAATGCCTTTCAGTTATTTACTGGGCCGTTTTTTAAGTCAGTATGTGTGTGATAATTAGGTCAACGTATGCGATTATTTTATTGAGCTTACTACGTGTTGACTGCTATTATCAATATATCTGTAAGTAACGTAAATTTTAAGCCGATACCAAAATTGCTTTTTGTGAAGGTGCACACTTAATTATCCACCGTCGACCTGCGACAACGCATCAGAAAATGCCCGTATATTACGAGATGCGTAGGAATGCATGAATTACTATTTTATTATCACTAGATATAATAGTATTTGTTTGGCCTTATGTAGCATGAGCCGAAGATGTCCGGCGTGTAGGTTCGAATGCTAAGGCTCATCGTACGCTCGATCAGCTCTACGTGCGTTCGTCATGATGTCCCTACTTGGCTTAAACACTTAATCTCAACTGTCTATTAAATACTTTACTAAGACATACATCGATCTCACTATTTCATAAAACAACAATAACTAGAACAAATTTTGGCCTTATCTCTAAATGCCGATCGAGAACTTCGTAAGGAAAGCGTTGTTAGTGCTATATACAATGAATAGGATTGAAGGCCCTTAACGGAGAGTAGATCATATGACGGCATTTTGACTGCTCACCAGTTAGTTGTAGCTGGTAGGAATAAACTTTGCTGGCTGACGAAAATCACATTGGGCATTCGGAATATCAAGCCCGCTTTAGTAAGTCGGGTGAGAATATATTAATGGCGTGATGTAAAAGAACTTATAGATATACATGGCTTTATGCCGATAGTTCCCTCTGGGATTCGCTTTTTGTTATTATCGACCTAATTGAAAACTGAAGGCCCAGTTTCCTTCATCTTCGGGAAACAACTATTTTTCATTTTCCTTAGACCTGCATGCATTTAGCCTTGTTACTTGTTCGTTCGTTCACCCTTTCTGTCGCCCCTCCTGCAAGATTATATGTGAAAAAAGTTAAATACACTTCCAGACGGAGAAGTAGCCGCAACAAATAGAAGACGTTCCCCCATCGTAGTTTGTATAATTATCAGCCAGCTTTCAGTTCTTGCGTTCACGTCCGCGTTTCACTTTCCACATCAGCCAAACGCTGAATCGAACCGTGGCTGCGTCCCTGAATGTATGCAGGGCCCCGTCCGATTCGATATACGTGCACGTGTGTATGTGTATTTCAGCCGATGAGCATGAATGCTTCATATATATATGTAGCACAATGAAAGAAGACGTTTGCTTGGTCGGAACTTCTAGCTCCAAAATGGCAACGTCTGTGCCAGCAGCAAACCCACTCAATATGTGGCTTTTTCAGCGGTCGACAGTAATAATGTCAGTGTCACTAAGAGAACTCTCGCAGAAGGTCGTTTGATATTCTGGCCTTTCCTAGGCCGCTAGGTACCGCCGAAAGCTCTTTGATTCTTTCTCTATGGCTTTGTCGAATTCTCGTTCTCATACGCGATGAAAACACGTCATTGAGTTAAAGAGGATAGGCTGTATTCAGTATGGCCAGATGCTGGTTACCCGTCAGCCAAGTCAGGAATGGCCTTGCATGTACCGCCCGCTTTTCCGCTTGCTGCCCATCTTACGTCGACCACAAAATTTTGCAGTAACAACTGCCCCTTAACAGACTAACGGGGCGGTGAAAAACAATACAATGGCATAATTGACGCCAGAAGGTTTGTTTGTTCTATGGACCTTGGCAAGATCTCATTTCTAACTGTACCCTTCCTTACATTTCGGTGGGTTGAGGACGGCTGGTCGATGTGGGTGCTACAGGCCATTAGATAGTGCTATGGCCCAATGTTGTATTTGCACACAAACTAAAGAAACCGTTTTTACTCGCACTGCATTTGTATCGCTTGCGGTAGGTCAGTGCCTATAGCTCCTTAAGCCTACACAAGCCACTCGCACGTGGGCTTCATTGTGTTTAAAACCAACCGTCAGCGACACAACAACATTACGGATACGAAACAAAGTCCCCCCCCCCCCCCAAAAGAAAACCCAATACGATAGCCAAACAAGACAAAAGTGTTGCCACGAGCACCGCTAATAGTGATGACCAACTGGTAAGGCGAAATTGTTCGTAAACAAAAAAAAAAAAACAGATCTACGGTATCAACGACGTGTGCAATGTACTACTTTTAGTCATACATATTCATCAAGTCACAGGTAATAGTGTAGACGTATAATTTTACCTCAGTATTTTCATTTGCCGCGACGTTTTTGCCCAGGCTCGAACGTCGTGAGCAGGGGGCGAGAATTCAGTATAAGACCTACGGACCTTATGCCTCAGGCCACCCGCACGATGGCTTAACTCCGTTGGGCTACTAGCGTGGGCCACCATCTATTATAGTTCCAGGAACTAGAATACGCGGCTTTCATTGACGCCCAAGTTCACATACAGGCTCAGACGACAAGGTTAGCAGGCGCAGCGGTCGTTCACCAAAACAACACAGTAGGTTAGCTAATATAGCCGTTGCAATTTATGGCAATAGATGTCAGCCAGTCTGATTTTCTCCTAACGTACATGTTGTTGAAACCACAACGGACAGCTTGTTGCAACAATCATTTCTTTTTCATATGCCGCTCTCAAATGATTAGTCATTAACCATTCTCGAGCACGCTTTCATCACGAATACCAAAATGGTGTTTAAGGATGAGCAAGTGACTGTGTCTAAATTTGTGTGTAAACCGTAACATATTATGTCTGGGCCAGAGTTCAACAAGGACGTAGAACAATAGAGCGACGAATTGCAGGCATAAGAGCAGTGGTTATATCGAATACTCCGTAGATGCCGTTAAGCACGTACAGGATTTCTACAGCCATTTACAATATTACCACAATGATGTTGGTTGTCTGCCCACCAAATCCAAAATCAACTGCTTGAAATTTATTCGTGTATATATATATGTATATATATATATATATAGTATAATAAAAAATTTAAAAAAATGGTATGATAATGAATACATGCATTCACTGTCTGGAAGATGCCAAGCGTTTGGTGCTACTGAGTTCGTGATAAATCTCGTGCCCTTCCTGATGAAAAAACTTGTTTTTTTTGTTAACGAAATTTCAAATCTAAAAATACGATAGTCTTGGCATTAATTCAAATCCTGAAGTGATTGCTCATAATTTCATCGTAAATACACTAAAATATGTGGGTAGATTCTTCAAGAAAAGTTTTCATGCAGGAACCCGGGTAGGGGTGGGTGACTGACTGTCGCTACGAGACGCTTGCATTATATTACGAGTTCGGCGTGAAAAAAACGATTTCTTCACTCAGGGTGCCTAGCAGTCGGTCACTTGTTACTCGGGGGGCGTGATGATATTTGTGGCACAGTGTCTCTTCAATTAGCGCAGGATCTGCTCCATCTATCAAGTGAAAATGCCTGATATTAACAACGTTCTGCGGCCACTAGGGAGGTATGCAGTATCCCGACAAAAAACATTCGCGACTTACGACCCCCGCGTGTCCTTGCGTATCGTTGATCACAACTCCCCAAGCCGTCAGCAGACAATAGAATACGGTTTCGACGCACGATTATTATACGATAAGAAATCGTATCTAGGTATTTTTTATACATTTATATATATCGAAGAAATTTCAGTTGCTAACAGTCATTTTGTTCGGGTACAAATATCCACTCTATTGTCATACCAACGGGCTAAGAATCACGACAGGGAAGCAACGAAGAGCGACAAAGTAATTTGCAAAAGTGCCCGTTTATTAAAGCTGTACGGTAAAAGTGATTGAACTGATAGCAGATCGTTTTTATTAGAAATATCAACAGCGAATCGGGGAGACAAAGCTCTTCAGCCCATTAGTTGAGAGTGTCCTTATAAGCTTGGTAGACCCGCATAAGTTATTTGTAACCCAGGGCTGAACCGTCCTCGGGTCCGCCCTCTCCCAGCAGCTCTTATGCTGAAACAAATTCACAGCACGATTTTCCTTATTTGCAATTGTACATTTTTTAACTATCGTATCACTATGGTAGAATTTAATTACGAGTAAGTAGTTTCCTATGAAGCAAATTATAATAAGATAGCCAATGTGCCAATTAACCGCAAAACGGAAACTAATCTATGTTAACCTAGCGATGAATCGATGATGGAGAATATTGGCAAAGTTGGTCGGATGGCCTATAACACTGTGTAAACATAAGCCTTTGTCGTTGTTTTGGAGGGAGCCCATGAAACGTTTACGAATTCGTTCCCAGTTTTGAAAAATAGAAGGCGTCCTATTTATAGCCAACGAACAGATGCAGATCTCCAGCAAATATTTAGTATTTATTTGACTTTTTGTTTATTTTAATATTTATGCAAAATCTATTTGTATGTATCCAAATGTATGTACACTATGCTAATTGTTAGTTAAATTTTGAGTCATAATATTTTTGTCCATCGGATGCTGCACACAGAGTTGTTTCACTTATCTGTGGTACGCAATCGCGGAAGGATATTTCGATAAAAGCGAATATTCTCACAGGAAGAGCGAAACTAGTTCCAGATATATTCGGCAATCTGCTTGAAAAAATCTGCCAGAGGGGTGCTCAATGAAGACACAATCGTTGTAAAGCTAAAGCTTTTATTTTCCGTCGGGGGGCAACGTTTGCTGTAGATATTTTTTGCAGACTACCTAATACGATCAGATTTACTGGCAACATACGCTACTCTTTCGTATTCGAATCTAACTTACTTTAACGGCTAGTTATACTTACAAATAACAGTCTTTACATATTATTTTTAAGATTAACCTATTTTCCCGTCGCCTTATAAAGATAGCAAATAAAAGCGGAATGATCGCAAGAACTCAAATATTATATCTCACCCTATATCGTTGTTATTCTAAACTATGTAGTTCTCAAAAAAGGTAGCATCTATATTTCGAGTTTTCACGTCCGCCATGAACGTTAGGGACCGTATCAGGCCGCTGGTTTCCAGCACGAAAGGAACAATCTGCCTATGTTTGGGTTCTAACCTGGCCTAATATAGTCCAATGGTTGCATGTTCGGTAGATTCAGTTATTTTTCGGATGCTTTCTGTGTGTGTACGACAAAGGTACAGGAACCGATTATTGGTATACAAGTGACTTGTTTAGAGCGTACTGGCCATATTGATTTAAACTGAGTTAATAAACGCCCTTCTTTACTTACTCTTCACCGGTTTTGAAAGCGGAACAACCCACTGGTTTTCATTTAACAATTCTTGTTCATTTTAGTGAAAGTTGACCTCCAGGGTCCAATCAGTAAATTTTCTATTGACCGCCGGCTCAAGATTTCACTTAACTTAATATGACATCGACATGCTATTTTTAAAGTTGTAACGCCTCCATAAATTATATAAGACATGGTACTAAATCTGTATTCATGTACTGACAACTTCCAACGTCAAGAATTAGCAAACTATTGAATTTGTAGTAGATAAATGGCTTTTTTAAACACAATCATAAAAAAAAAAACGTGAGAGTTGGGTTGCACTCAAAGAGACAAGAGAGAATTTTTTAAGGGCTTTAATTATGCGATATTTGCCGCAGTGCTAAATAAAAGCTTTCGATTAGAATTCTGCCTCGTCCATCTAGACGTATTAGAGGGGCCCACATGCAAAATGACCGGATATTTTGCTTTAGGGGTTCGACTGATCCATTATGTCTATGACACTCGACTCGTACGTCAATGTATACAACTAATTTTATATATCTGTAACTTCCATTGTTCATCTGCACCGAACGTGGTGCTGTTTATTGATTGGCTCGCACTGGAAATTGTATGTTGTTGGCAAAAACATCAGTGGGCAATCATTAGTTAGGTTTATGAATTTATCGATGAAGCAAATATCCAGGGACAACTTTTCTATGCAAGGGCTAGCATTGTTTTTTTTGAGTGCAGATGGTCTTAGAAGTACATTAGGGATCTAAAAATACTCATTTGATATTGATGACAAAGAACCCCTTAGCGTGAAAGGAACCCCTTTTTTACCGACCCTATTACGCCTTTTGACAGGCAGAAGGGGAAAAATCGCGATTATGAGCGGACGCTGATGCTGGCTAAATCTTGAGATGCTGCTTATGATGGTAAGATAGACTGTTTTTATGCATTAATATAGAACCTAGACAGCAAAAAGGATACCTCTCATGCACTCATTGGATAAAGGTAAAAACAAGTGATATAGAAGAAGAAGAAGAAGCCATGGAGAATGGCAGAGTGCTTTAACTCTAAGATCGGTCACAACTACGAAAACGTCTTCGATTGTTTACTTCAAGCAGCTAATATGAGCTCCTGATTGGTGTCCTCCTAGCGAAGTAGCGCCTGAGGGAAGATTAGGAAGGCTTGCTGCAGGTGCAAACGAGATAAGGTCAAATATCTAGAACTGCGTGATAGTAAAACAAAAAAGAATAGTGGCCTATATACTACTTCTATTCGTTCATGCGTGCACCAAGGGCTAGTTTAAAATACAAAAAAAAAACATCTAAAAATAGAGCTGTGGCCTAGCGTTGATCAGCGATCCTTCACAGCCACGATTCGAACATTATTTAGGAAGTAAACAGCTGTAACGGTTTTTTGAGGAAAAGGACCTGCGGAGTAAGAATGTAGCTATATGACGATGTCAACTAAATAAAACCGGTCTCTAAAAATCAATGTTTATAAAATCTATTGCACACCAATGCGTAGAAACAGCGAAGAGTCAATCTAAATCGGCTAATAAAATCCACACCACTTCATACCATTGAAACGCTAAGCAAAGCTCTACAAAATATCAAAATGTGCTAATTTTCATCCTTTTGGTTCGTCAGAATTTGTTCAATTCAAAATACCGATCTTCTTTTTAAGTTGGATCTCTTATAGGAAAAATGTGGGGTATTAACTTAGTTTCGGAAATACTTAGATCTCGCTGCTTAACATCGAAGTCAGATAGATCAGTTATATAGGTATATGAGGATACCATTTTGAATGATTTCTATATTTTCACTGTATGCGAGGTATCAGATCAATCGTTTTACCTACGCTATACCTCCACTTCGTAGTTAAACACGGGTATAATTTTTTTGTATAAATGTATAAGCTCGTTTTGAGCGCTAACTATATCTTCGTACAGAATTTTCCGCTAACAAGGAAAACAGGTTCCTTTCTGAAGCGACCAACTATTTTCAGTCATTACTAATTCGAGCTCTTCGCTTGTGCTTTTCAAAAAGTAGCCCTTAAGCACTTGCAGCTTGTTTCTTTGTCATTACGTCTATTTATGTATATTACTACTACTCATTACGTATGTATTTATGTATTATAGGCTAATTACTATAATATTAATTTAATTTAAATTATAATTAAATTAAATTATAATAAGCTGCAGTAGCAGCTTATTATAGCCTCGTGATTTCGTTGTTGTGCAGCGATCCGTGCTATACCACCTGTGATATTTGTTCTTTTTATCATCAGGGCAGTCGTATTGCTGGAGCCACAATCATATACACTGTGATAACAAATGTGTTTTAGGGAAAAGCTTTATTTATTTTTATTTACCTTTAGAGCATGTGTAAAGTGCGAAAATATAATCCACTAATATGCTTGTTTTATAGCTACGAGCCCTGTAATATTTCTACTGTAGTACCACCCCCGCGATGAACGCGGTTTTGTCTTGGCGTGTCATTGTGTATCGTCGTTATACTTCATGATGTACTTAAACACAAAAAAAAATGCATCTAAACTAGTGGTTCCTGACCCTCTATCTAATCTGATGTAGTTGCGTTTCAACGATAACGCATCTGAAATTTATTCGGGTATAGAATCTGCCTGGGAGACAGAAAACGGTGGTTCAATAGTTGGGACGCGTTATTCCAAATAAGAAACCCCAATAGTTTATCGACTCGAACCACGCATGTTACAATCTAATCATTACCGAATAATTGATTTTTTTCTTGATGATTTTCCTCTATGAAAAGTGACGATCGAGACTTAAGACTCTTATTCTTTCGCCTAACCTTTAGGGCGCACTGTTCTCTTTCTGAAATCTTTATTTTTTATTCCGAATTAGTAATCCATAAATTGCGTCGTTCGTTTTCCGCCAATTGTCTCGTACACTAAGACTACCTGACTCACACAACAATTTCACAAACAAAAAATCAGCAAAGGCTTTGAAACTGCTAGAAATTTAGCAGACTTACTTACCCTTGAAAGGTATTGTCGCATACCTCTCGCGAAGTAAAAATTTTCGTTTTTCCACATTAGTACAGCATGTCCACGAAATATTCAGCCTGTTATTTAAATAAATTTGAAATTGAGGAATTAATTCTCCCGTTTGTCCAGCTAGTAGGTTTCACACTAACAGGCGTCTTGTTGTCGTTTGCGTTTATAAGGCAATAGCCAGTTTAAAATGGCGTCTTTCCAGAAGACTCTCATAAACAAAAGCGAACATATAGATAGCGACAGTAGTTGAAGTGGAGTAGTCGGTTTTTTCTGTCTTCGGCACTTAATATACATGCAGTTCAGTTGCAGCGTTCCTATAAAAGAGGGATAGTTAATAAATCAATACGTTGCGGTGGCGTCCCGGTCCAAATTGTTTCCATAAAGAGGGCGCACGCGCAGGTTTCAGCTAAATCGTGTTATATTTAAATAATGCGCCATAAAACTAGTAGCGCAAGCAAAACATTAGGCCAGCACAAATTCTCCAATAATCCAATTTGAACTGAGGCTTTTGTCAGAACTTCTTTACCAATGATGATAGATAGCTAAGTAAATAAAAACATACCAAGTATTTATGATGCATTATGTTGTTGAAAAAGCACTTAAAGTTCGGCGCTATACTGTACGTACTGCTATCATCCAAATGCCACTTTTTTCTTCCTATGGAATAGTCTCCGCCAAATACAACGCACTGTGCCGTTGTTTCTTTCAGTCTTAGAATCCAGTATTAGAAATGGGTGGTCAACTTTTCTTTTTCATTTTTGGATCTCCTCAATCGTCTTAAATAACTACTCTTCCTGATATTTTTTTGGGTTTAATAACAGAAATAATAGTCACAGGCGGCCGAATCTGGCGCATACGGCCGTTGGGGAAATACAGATATCGAATTCATGTTAAAAAGAAGTAATCACTTTTAAACAAAGGCCTAATCGTGATGAAAAATATACTGTTTTCATCACTCAGTCATGCCACGGTCCGTCATGACTTCTGTAAGATATCTTCTGTAGACTCCCTAAGAGTGATTCGGCTATTACGCTTAAGTACGAGCTTTTCCGCTCTCGAAACATTTTCGTCCATACTTGCTATGGCAGGTCAGAATCGCTCTGCCGTGCGTTCAGAATTGATTGATAATTGTGACTCACCCTTCTAGTAAAATTTTGTACAGCATGAGCAGTACTTGCAAGTGCTTGATCTCGTTCTTAAGTCGAAAAAACAAGACATGGCCGAAGGTTATTCACTTCCAAGTGCTTGCAAAACAAGAAGAACACTACGAATGTGTATAGCAAACAGACAGGCAATACACTGATGTTTGATCAATCATCGATGACGAAAGCTGCCTGTAACTTGCAGCTAATAAGTTATTAATGTTCCGGATAAGGCAGAACAAGAAGCAATAAACAAATTTCAGAAGGATACTGTCTGACGCAGGGCTTTAATGTCACCAGAAATAAATGCGACCTAAAGCTCTTAAGATCGTTGTGCGATTATTGTGGCACTATTCGAGCTGACCAAAGTTTACATGCAGTCGAAAATCTATATTGATGCTGAAAGTCCAAGAGAGTCTACTATTCATGTAGGTCTAAGTGACTATTAAGGTCCCTTTTTGATGCGCAATCAACAACGCGAAAAGGACATGCATATGTTCATTACGTAAACGGTTTATTATCGCACTATATATTAGCAAATGGTGTATGGCAGACCAGAAGCAGCACCAAAAAACCCAATTTATGGCAAACTGGCTGAATCATTACGGTCGCTATTTCCTATCGTATTCTACAAGTGACATTTTTTCAATAATGCGTTGGTCTACCCGCTTAGTATCGAAGGAAACGCAGTTAGTGCGACGCCTAGAAAGAAATAATTATGCTTGAACAAATTGTATCGGAATATCCTCCTGTAGAAGTCGAGACGACAAACAACGCGGTTCTACCCGCGACGAAAGGAGACGGCTATCATGATGCGTCAGCAAGGGTCTCCACTCAGTCGGAGCTCAACTCGGAAGAGGCAAAAGAGTCCTTTCGGATTTATCAGGAGGCCGTTTCGTTGGGTCTAGTACCGACTCAGCAGGAGATGTACGAACGCGTTGTTACTGCTACGAAGCTAAGGCGCTCGATTCTAGGATTCTATATAATTGCTGTGATTTTAATGTACTTTATTTTGTGGCTGTTCGTTTTCGCTCTCGTACTTCCCGATGCCAATGAACTTCTCCGAACTTATGCTCAGCTGGCGGTGACGCAAACTAGGAGGAAGACGTGCACGCCGGAATCTTCCGCGAAAAGCCCTCTGGTTATTGTGAATTTGGAAGTTGTTGTGTATAACAACAGTTCTGACAGTAATCAAACTCTGCTCTAAAATTCCGGCTGGTACGGTTGAGTATGATTGAGCGAAGTAGCGGCTATGGTGCTCCACAGATCTCGAATGCCGACGCTATGGCGTGACTGCTGTATTCGAATATGACAATATCGGTCGGCAGTGGCACCAAGAAAAGATGAGAACACGTACGCGTGTATGCGTTCCTAAATTCGTCATGAATACGGAGCGGTTTGCGCATTATAGGAATCAGGCGAACGATCTGAGTAATATACAATCGGTATGAGTACATTCTGAGTATTTGGTGCGATGAAAAACGGATCCGTATGGTTACATCGCATGGAAACAAAGTTCGGTGGTAGTAAGCCCATTGCACAAGTTACATTGGAGTAGTGCAAAGCTATATCTGCTGATGCTGTGCATAGATAGTGTTAACGATAAAGTAATCATTAAAATAATATCAGAGTAAACATGATGAACCCCAATTTAATTCAGGTGGATAAATCAGTAGGGTCATAGCTGAACGAAATAGGGTAGCCAGAGCATATATAATAAACAAAATTAAATAGATAAAAGGCACCTGTTATCTTCTTCTTAAGTTTTTTTTCAATGTTGGCTAGCATTACAAGTTTAGAAGCCTTTTTTGGCGAAAATGGATGAAAACCAGAGATCTACTATGCAGGTCAAAACCCCTCGTTGAATAGTGTTACTGACTTTTCAATGTGGCTTCATGAGCAGCGAAATGTGGTGCCGCCACGTGGTAATAAGGATAGTGTTGCAATTGTAATAGTGGTAGTAAATTTAACGTTAAGTCCCAGGGAAATCTCGACCATTGGTTTTCAGCTTAGTTGGAGCGTGTGTGTTGTTATTATTATTGTAGACTTTACTACAATTGACCAGAAGTAAAAAAAAAAACGAGTATAGATACGCCTATATCTTGGACGGACAGCGTCGGAGGTAAGAGTTGGTGATATATATGTACTTTTATATATTATATATCTTATATCAGATAGTTGTCGAAAATTACACGAACGTATATAAATCATGATATCTTATTAAGTTGGTGGTGTTTAAAACAGTTTATTTTAAAATGGAACGAGAAACGTAGGCATATTCTCGTTCCAAAAATTGTACGAAGATCAGGTTTACACTGAACAGGAGAACCGCTATTAGGAAATTTGCCCCTATAAATGAAATGGCTAAGCGTGACTGAAAAATTTAGAACGGAAACGGATATTGCAGAGCGGACACATTATATGGCGTGTTTTTTAGCACTTAGTTCACTAGAACTCAACTTTTTTTTAGAATTGTATCTGGAGTCTACAAGATTTCCCAGACAAGAAGTTTACTAAAGATTAACAAAATAACACAAATAGGCCACGCCAAATTCCGAATAACGATAAAAACGTGTATACGTGTACTCTCCGTGGAAAATGCTAGACACAGCTGGGATAGATACCAGTTCTCGGCCAGGTTTAGCCGGAGTTAACTGACCTTCCAGTCGCCTGTGTCTGTCCAGCCAAAAACGGCGTTCTATGTAGGCATGCGAAACAGTTGCTTTTTTTGTTTATCAGACATCATCAAATATCGATCTGGCTTAATAATACGTTAAGGCTAGGTTGACCATGGAATACTCAGATTCATCAATGCCTATCGCAATGGTGTAAATACTCGTGTGAATCACCCAATAAGTACAACACAACTTATCTAACAGACATAGTTTTTAAATAGATTTCTCCCTTAGTCTCTTGTTTTTCTTCTATATCGTTAGCCTTTCTCTGATTAAAGTTTGGCACACAAGCGCAACTTCGTTCTTTTCTCCTTCATCACGCCACACTTCTGTCCGCAACAGAAAATTTGAAAATGGAGTATACTCTACAAACTACATAGGCTATTTAGATGTATACGTGCAACCGAACAGTTAGCACCACAGCTCCGACAGGAATCGCTCACAGAATACCGCGAATATCACAGCTGGAGGCAGCTCTTCCTGGATGCGATAGGACGGATCGTACATCACTATCAACTTTTCAGGACTACCCCCGCCCCCCACGCATTTACAACTGGTCGTAGCGACTTGAGGTAATAGCAAGCCAGTAACGTTGAGTTGCGAATCAGGCTTAACAATGACAGACAAAAGCTTTGCTGGATACGCACATTGTACTAGACTAACAGAAAGTTTGAATTACTATATCTTGAGACTGTGTGAAGATGACTGTGATCCGCTCTGACAATTCCGGATTTGAATGTTCGCTAGCTGAAACGCAAAGACCTGCTCTCGTTGTAGCGTTATTGATGAGATGCCTTCTCCTTAGGCCATGGTTCTGTCGTCCAGCTTAATTTTCCTGTCCGCCTTTTTTATTTAGACTCTATGTACATATGATGTCGATTTATCAACGACGTGTCGGATACGAAGCGGGCAACAGACTACATTGTTCAATCGAAGCTGACGCAAGGGACAAACTGGAGGCGGGGTTGAAAAGAAGGTCCCGGGAAGATAACATAGTGCCACAAGAAACAATGTCAGCAAATCACAAACTGCAGCCGAATGGCCAAATGCATATGTTGCGCGATGTTTTCTGATCACAGCATTTTTATGATTATTGGATATAAATGAATAGCAAAGTTGCAACCGATAGCAGAGGTGCCGGAGGCGCGCAGATAGGAGTGTCAAAAAGGGTTGATGTTATCGAAATAACAATAATAATAAAGGAAGTTTCTATATCCAATTTAGCTATGGCAAACGGTACGGAAATGACGGACATCGTCTGCTATCGGATATGGCAGTTTTATATGTGAACGTGTGGATACATTATATGCTAATGTAGGCGGCAGACAGATATTTTTAAGCAACGATTCTATAGCCTATGGCCACGTTAAGTGGTAGGGTGGAAATCAAGTGTTAAACCCAGTATATAAATTATTATAGTCCTATATAGTGCTCCGTCGTTTTAGTAGATGATAACTTTTCTGTTCTTGCATCTCAAAGGCCTCTGATGATTGGTCCATACGTACTAATTGTATTGTCGCCGCGAAACCCACAGAGTTAATGCTGTAGATGACGCGCGCTATAAAAGACCAAAACCCAGAACCAATAAGGTATTGTGTCTGCAGCAAAAAAAAAACGCGCACGACTATTAATGGCTAAGGCTTTCGAATATATATATCCTTGCCGCCCTCCTTTACAGCTGCCAGGCCGTTGTCGTCTTTCCACTATTTAAGCTTTTCCTTCTCTAATAGTAACAGCACGAGTAAAGCCAGTACGAGCGGTTGCTATCGTAGGTCTAATAGTCGCCATAATATGTGCTGATTATTACGAGACCCCGCCTATGTACGTCCATGCTGTATGTTTGCCGTTCATGGTGAGTATGGGAGCAGAGCAACATGATGACTAACCGGATCCGAGAAATAATTTGACCGTCGTCTTGGCAGATTATTAAAACGGTCATTGTCTAGATTGAGAGAGAAGAAACGAAACAACGACAGGGGACCGGGCAAAAACGGGTTCACACGTATGCGCATTATTTCTATCTCATTGAACTGAGAACAAGTCGCTTTCTTACAACTCACTTAAAAAAAACTGGGCTCTATGTACGAATGTGGATAGGTTAACTTGCCACAGCTACAGAAGTGTGAGCCCATGTGAACGATGAACCAATTTTTATTACGGGCGATGGTAATTTCCTTGTCTGGTCACACTTTACACTGGTCATACGAGCGTAATATTCAGTTCAAAATGTAGTCTACTAAAAAGACGCTAGGACAGCATCTAGATAGTTCTATTGCATATGTATCGAAAATACGTAATATTTTGCGATATCTGGTGATGGTGTGGGAATTTAAACGAGAGAAAAAAAAAAACGGAGCAGCTAATTTGGTCTAGTTATAGGTCTTGTGCTTTTACCTGAAAGAAACCAGCGAGTCAGGGGTAAAATCCTAGCCTGAACTAGTATGGAAGGGAAATTCAAGATCTGGAGGATCATGGATACTCGAAGTGATAAGCTTTTTGAGGTCTGAATGGACGAGATAGCTGCAAGGCATGAGGAATTGATCATCTAGGCTTTGCATCCGAGGTGAGAGGTGCGAATGACGTTAGGGCGTAGGAAGTAGGGTGACAGAGTGCAACTTGCAGGTTT